TTCTTCTACTATATATATATATATATATATATATATATAAATATCTATTTAATTTATAATATTTTTAATTATGACAAATAATAGTGATGAATATTATTATGTGGAGAGGAAGATCAAAGATTATTCTGTAAGAAAATTCATTCAAAAAGAGAGACATGTGAGAGTTTGCCCTATTTTATTTTTTTGTTATTTATTTATCATAATTAGAATAATTTTATTGGTAAAAGGACATTTTCATATTTGATATTATACAGATAGGGATAATGCACAAGTATCTCGTTAATCTATGCCTAAAATCTCAGAGACATAATTATACTATATTAAGATTCTATTATCTCCTGAATTTATTTTATTAATAATTTTCCATTACTTTTCGGCCTACGTGGCACTAGTTTGAAAAAAATATCAATACGCGCTGGACCCACAAGATAGTGCCACGTGGGTCAAAAAGGGGTAGAAAATTATTCATAAAATAAGTTCAGGAGGGTAATAGGACCTTAGTATAGTATACACGTGTCTCTGAGATTTCGAAAATAGGTTGAGGGGGTACTTGTGCATTATCCCATACAAATATGATAATTTTGAACCCCCACATGAACAAGAAGCAAGTTGTAGTTAATGGTAGATCTCCTTTTAAATTGGTTCGTGCATCCAAGCTTATTCACACGTTTATACTTTTATTTTTTGAATTTCTATGAATGAAAATCCTGGATCCGTTAGTGATTCACGTCCAGAGTTCGAATCGCATTGACCTACTTACTTTTTGTACTTATAAACTATATATACTACTTCCTTGGAATTGTATTTATTGACTTATTTACACGTGTATATTTTTATTTTTCGAACCTCCTAAATGAAAATCTTGAATCCCCAACTGGTTATGCGGACGAATTTTATTGGGAAATTTAGGTGTCACATGCCTTTTGAAATTGTATTAATATGTATTTAAATATTTGATCTAGTCAACTGTGAGGCGGATTTTGTTAATAGTTGTTCATTTAAATCAAATGAGAAAAGTCAATATGGATAGATTAGGTAGGAAACTCGCCAAAAACGTGCTTTTGACCATTAACTCTGAATAAAATAACTATTCAATGAAAGATTATATCTTAAGATGTAAATAAAAGTATAACAGTCAAAAACTTCTCTTATCAATATTTTCTTAAAATACATGTAAAAGAAAAAAACAATAGATAATTTAAGACTGACAGAATATGCACGATTGGGGGCGAGTGTTTAGTATTCTGTTCGGATTTTTCAAATTTCAGATTCAGTAATTCGATACTTGATAATTAAAAGTAGATGTCAAATGCCAAATGCCAAATTTTTAATCAAAGATAAAATTAAGTAACTTTTTCTTGTGATGTTACTGTTATGAGTTCACATTTAATAAAAAAAAGGTTTTGGTTTATATTTTTAAGACTATAAATAGTCAAAGCACTATCTTTATCAAGGTCGAATTCATTGATGACAATCTAAAGTGGACATCTATTTTCACTTAGATAACTTAACTAGGCGTTGTTCATTTTACACACTTCATGTCATGTCTTATTGTATTATTTTATACTTTTTCATACTTATTGATTATGTATCAAAGTGACTAATTAAATGAGCAACATTTATATTGAAAATAATTTAAATAATGAATTTTGAGTAGGAAACAAAACGGCCAGTCACTCAGTGACATAGTGACATGCGTCATTTTAAAATCCAAATAATTCAAAAAAGAAAAAGGAAAAGAGAAATAACACACGGCCCATCCAGATTATTTTCTCCAGCACCCACCCCTAAATCCTTAATTATAGTTTGATCTATTATAATAGTAGTTGTTTTTCTTTTAACTAATTACCACCATCGGATCTACTTCTTGCTAGAAGGAGTTTAAGTTTTGAAAGATGTTCATTAAAAAATGACGAAGGAAAAGAAAAAATAAAAAATAAAATAAAGATAATTAAATAAGCTCTTAACATATTAACAACAAGTCATGAGTGTGATACGTTTATTGTGTCACATCAACAAAAAGTATTAAACTAACGCAACATGATACAATATAAAATTTATAAAATAAATAAAATCTTATTAATATAGATATATAAAATCAATATTAACTTTAAGTAAATCAGCAATAGACTTAATATCAACTTTAGGTGGCCAGCAATAAAATAGATCCTTTAATGTTAGTTATTTTTAAAGCACGTGGAGCTTTTCCTTGTGATGGCTGATGGGCTAATATTACTAGCTCACATGTCAAAAACAAAGTAGTTTTGGTTTGTATTTTTAAGAGGATAAAATAGTCAAAACACTATTTTTATTTATGTTTGTTTAAAGCATGTGTAGCTTTTTCTTGTGATGGTAATGTTATGAGTTCACGTAAAAAGAAGGATAACTATCACATATAGCAAATAAAAAATTTATATTTGTATGTTATAGCATAGTTTGCATAATTGCGCTTCATAGCAAACATAAAACTGTATAATTCGCTGGCCTAAATTGTATAATTCGCTGGCCTATTTCGCTGCAATTGTATAATTCGCTATCCTATTTCACTGCAATTGTATTATGCACAATTGTATAATTCACTGCCTATTTCGCAGCAATATTTTTATAAAATTTGCTTTGCATACAATTGAATCGAATTAAAATGTATGTATATTGCATAATTATAAGTGTATAGCAAGAAGATATATGTTTTTCTCTCGCTTTATACAAAAACAGAAACACAATATATACACCTCTGTTGTATAAAGCTAGAGAAATTGTATTTCACTGCAATTATATAATTCGCAATTGTATAATTCGTTGACCTTTTTCTCTGCAATATTTGTATAAAATTTGCATTTGTCTACAATTGAATTGAAGTAAAATGTTTGTAAATTGTATAATTAAGTGTATAACACGAAGATATATGTTTTTGCATGTGTACATACAATTTTCTCTCGCTTTATACAAAATAGAAACAGAAATTATACACTTCTGTGTATAAAGCGAGAGAGGCGAGAATGAGAGAGTGACGAGCGAGACTTTTGAGAGAGAGACGCCTGACAAATTTTGGCTAACGTTTGCTATGGAGCACAATTAAATCAAACCCTAGCTACTCCATTTATTTTAGGTTATTAGTTTGCTATTATATACAATTTTCCCTAAAAAGAAATAGTTTTGGTTCAAAATTTTAAGTAGATTAAGAGGCCGTTTGGATGGGCTTAAAAAAATAACTTTTAAAAAGTACTTTTGAAAGTGCTGAAACTTATTTTTAAAATAAGTAGTTATGTGTATGGATAAACGTGTTTCAGTTGAAAAAAAATTGATTTGTTTGACAAATAAGTGTTGGTGAACACTTTTTTATCAAAATGTCTGAAATATCCTTAAAACTGTTAACATGATAAAAATTTGATTAATTTAAGGTTTTTATACTTAAAAAAATTTAAAACAAAATTAAATTTATATTTTACACCCATAAGTAATAATATTTCCTATCATTTACATATTTCTTTATCATCACAATTCTTTTTATAATAATAATAATAATAATAATGATAATAATAATAATAATAATAATAAAAATAAAAATTAATAATAATAAAAATTAAAATAATAATAATAATAATAATTATAATAATAATAAGAAAAAATTAAAATTAAAATTAAAATAATAAATATAATAATAAGAATAATAAATAATAATAATAATAAAAATAAATAATAATAATAATTATAATAAATATAATAATAATAATAAGATAATGTTAATAATAATAATAATAATAACAATATTAATATTATTAATAATAATAACTTATAATAATAATAAAAGAATAAAGGGCAAAAAGATAATATACTTAGTCAACATAAAATAACTTTTAAGTTTTTTAAAAAACACCTTTCACCTAAAAACATCTTTCACCTAACTTTACCTTTCACCTAATTTTTAGCTTTTGATTTAAAATATGTCATTTTAAACTTAAAATAAGTTACTTTAATAATTATCAGACAACTCTAATAAGTGCAAAATTGATTTTTAAACCAGTTTGATTAGCTTTTTAAATCCATTTAAATAGGCTTTAAATTGTCAAAATACTATGTCTATTAATATAATTTTTTTTGATTTTCTAAAATATAATTTATTTAGAGATAAAATCACTTAAAAAGTACACCAAATATTTCAGCACAAAATCAGCAGTAGTAACATCTCATTCCAAAGTCATACAAAAAGTGCTGTTGTAAGCATTGATAATACCAAGAAAAAGAAGTGCACTCTTTTTGAGAAACTCACCTAACAGCCCATTCTCCTTTAATTTTCTCTCCCAAAAACTTTGGAGCAAACAACAAAATTTGTGTGAGATAAATTATGATGGATGAGTACTCCAAATCCAACAAAAAAACATACAAATTAGAGGAGAATCAGAGAGTCATGATGAAAATTAACACAACAAAAAATGTAAGTGGCATTGGTTGTGTAATTTTGTTAGGTGGAGCATTAATAACAGTTGCTGCTATGGGTTCTGCATTCTTGATTTCAAGAAAAAACAAGAAATCTACTAAGAATGTCACAAAGAAAGAGGGGAATGAGAAAATTGAAGATGAATCAAGTAATAAAGGGCTTCATTTTATTCTACCTGAACAACAATCTTCCAGGTTAGTGATACGATCAAACGAGAAATTAGAATTTTGAGTTTATGAGTCAGTGAATTTTAAGTTAGTTATATGTAAATTGAGTGATTTTTGGAAGTTTTGACTTGTAGCTGTCTCTATAGCTCCACAGGTGAATATAAGTTTTTAATTAGCCTAAGAAAAACCTGAAAATATTATTTTTGGCCAAAATCATCCTTCAACTAGATAGAAAGAAATCACTAAGTAATTTTTGTCTACCGATATTTTAGGCAGATAGGAAGAAGTCACAAATAATTTTCGGACTTCTTTAAATTTGAAACTTTTGACAAATTTATACCTATAAAGTGACTTTTTTAAGGCATAATACATAAACATGATTCTTAACTTGTCTTTAATGGACAATAATGTCCTCCAACTTTGAGTGTGCACAAGTAAACACTTAATTTGTATAAAATTGAATAAGTAGACATACGTGTCCTACAAGACATAAGACACATAGGATGCCAGGTAGGACGATTGTGTCCATTTGCTCAATTTTATACAAGTTTAAGTTTGTACATGTGCACACCCAAAGTCAAAAGGTCATAGTTATCGGCTGCCGCCAAATTAAGAGTCATGTTTATGTATTATGCCTTTTTCTAAACACAAATACAGAGTTTTTCTCTCTAGCTATGCTTAAACTTCCGATAAACTATTTTTTAATGATGATAAATATTTGGATCAACTTACGTATATCTCAATTATTCCATCAGGTTCTGGTATCTCACTCAATATAGATATCATTTAATTCTGTCTGCCAGTGTTTACACAGATACGAAAGAAATCACAAATACATTTTTGCCTGCAAAATTTGAAACTTTTTACAAACTTATAACCAAGAAAGTGTAACAACAACTACTTAAACCTTAATTCCAACAGTTAAGTCTTTTGCTTCCATTATGTCCTGCTCATAAGAAAACTGTCAACTTCATTTCCAACTAACGCAATGTCCAATTGATTGTAAGTTTCAGCAATGTGACTGACAAGTTATGTCACAATGATTCCCTCAATGTTATAGTCTCTGATCATCTAAAAGTAGAAGAAAAATCTCCATCTTTCGAAAGATTGGAGTTATCGGAGACCAAGATTTCGTTGCTCTCTGATCCTGATCAGGAGCTGTATGAGGTTTCTCGAGTAAAAACTGATGTAATCCAAGGAAATGAGAAGATTGAGGTACCATCGCGTGTGCATCAAGCCCACGCGACAATATTCAGCAATCCTGATTCGCAAATTTTGGTAGATAGCGATAAAGGAGAATCAAATGAGTTGCAACGTACTGGTGTGATCAAGACGAATGATTTTGAGGAGGATCTAATTCAAGAACAAGAAAAACAACCCACGGGTGATCAAGCAACCAGCATTTGTAATGAGCATGAACCACTCAACTCTGCATTTAAATTAATGAGAGCAGCTGATGAAGGACAATGTGCTAATGCAGAAACTCAGATTGATCAAATAGCAAAGAAATGCGATGTACAAAACCAATTCAGTGATGAATCAGAGTGTGCCAATGAGAATGATCAGGCAACATCAGCAAACAGCCACTGCATAACTTACAGTATGGACGCGCAAAATTTGGAAGCCTCTGAAATCAGAAAGGCCTCGGTAGATGATCAGAATTCTGCTGAAGTGATAAAAGAAGCAAATGCGATGGATTCTGCAGTTAGTGAAGAGCAGAGCCTAGAAACAGAGCAGTTGGCTGAGAAAATTGAACCCGATTGTGAAGGAAATGTCTTGAAGGAAAATGATGATGAAGAGATTGTTTTTGTTAATGAACATGATGATTACGAAGACGATATAGACAAAGAAGATGATGCACAGGAAGTTGAATACGACATCTCGGAAGAAGCAATAGATTCCTCTACGCAATTCAACAGTGACAAAATTTGGCTAGCTGACTCAATCCAGGAACATAAAGTAGAGAATATGAAAGAAGGAACCAAAATTGAAGAAGATGAACAATGTATTGTAGAGAACTGTAATTTGGAAAGCACACAGAATGATGTCGCCATAACAAGTTGCCAACAGAACTATGACTGCATTGATGGCTATAGAACGAAGCTCATGTACCTGAATGATATAGCTGCAATCACCAGGAGAAGGAGAGTGCTTTTGGGAGCACTACTAGTGCTAATCTGGTACCTTGTGCTTAAACGCATTCTTTCTTCTGTAATAGGCGGATTCAAGATTTTAAACGACGAGCGAGTGCCAAATAGTATTGCAACTCACTAGTAGGTGTCAAACTAGACATAAATAATTAGTTATGGGACAATACCTGCTATACCAATATTTTTTTTATTAGGGCGATAAATCTATTTGAATTTCTTAAGTTACGTAATATTTTTTCTTATAAATATGAAACCTCACAATTTGTAACAAATGAACGAATTATAGCTCAGGTACCAAAATATTCTAACATGCCTGCATTACATATGATATTGTTCATTTTGTAATAAATATTTGCAATTTTGTTTATATTTTGAATGATATTCAATAATCCTTCTTCTTTATTTGAACTTGAGAACAACGAATATGAATGGATTCATTCTTAGAATGATGGCGTTCATTGTTGACAAGGTCAAATTTATTTAAAGTATATGAGTAAAATGCAAGAAAAAATTGTGTACATATTCGAGATGCCATTTTTTATTTCTCCCCTGTGTGACACACATGCTTAAGTAAAAGCATGATTTATTTGTCTCGTAGACTTTGAAATATCAATTTTCATGTATATCATCATGATCATAAAGCAATAGTTGTCAACGACCATAACTCATCCATGTTAGGCATTGCTTTATATGGGATCTGAATTTAATCTAATTTTAGTATAAATATCAGATATTAAATATGAAAAAAAAGAAGAAGACATAACTCATTCGTGAAACAAAAGGAAATCATTCATTGGTCTAATGAAAACTCAACTTAAAGAGGAGTAATATATTTGGTTCTTTATTATTGATTCGTTTTAATTTTAATTTTAATTTTGTAGGATATATAATCAATTCATTTTAATCCACTAAATTATGTATATACATTAATAATTGAATGTATAATTGTTAATAATTTGGTTGAAGTTATGAATATAATATATATATATATATATATATATATATATATATATATATATATATATATATATATATGATTTTATTCTTTTTTATTTATTTATGAGCTTCTACAACAAAAGTTCTTTACTATAGAAATAGAAATTGAATTTTTTTGAGATATTATAGACTGTAGTTACTTATTAGAATATGCTCAATCAACTTATGAATTTATTAGTCTCATGCAGGTTATTTTTAAGGAAGCTGCAGACGTTAATGGTTCGACATACCTTTTGCCTAAAAAATAATATTTATAATAAAGTTGCGGATATTTTGACTGAACAAGGTTTCAATCTAATAAAAATACATTATTTCTAATTCTATCAACACATTATTTAGAATTTAGGAAAGACCAAAATGAAATATTATTTAGTAAAATAATAGCAATATCTATCTTTAAATAAGCTATTTTTTAAATAATAGAAAAAGATGTAGATTTTTTTAAAAAAAATTTATTTCGAAAAGTTAATTACACATTTAAATTATGATTTATAAATTCATTTTTAAATAATAAAAACGTGTAATAGATCGTTATAATAATTTAAACGCAAGTTTAGAAGATCTATGCCTTTTCCCTTTAATAATCTTGAAAATTATAAATAAAAATTCTAGAATTTTAAAAATATAGCTGCTTCACAAATATTGCTAACAAGGCCCAAAAGAAAAGACAGAAAAAAGTGAAAATAATATCTTTATCAAACATTATGCTGAAATAATAAATATTTAGCAGATATTAAGTACAATAGTTATAGTTTAAGTGATCGTTTCATTAAAAATTAGATATTATAAAATTAACTATTGTGAAATTAGTTATCGTAAATAACTTATTCCATCACAAGTAATAAATGGTGGGATAAGTATTTCAAATATATCAACAGAACAAGTCATTTAAATTTTATTTCAAGACTGTTTTTTTTATCCCAGGAATATTTATTTTTATCCCTCGCACCAAAGGAGCCCTAAGAAAATTGTGATCTGCGACTATAGTTTTTGTAATTTTTGTTATTTGCCTGATTTGTATAAATTATGAATTTGTATAATTCGTAATTTGTATAAATTCAAAATTTATATATACTTATCTAAGCTTTTTATATAAAATTTATGAAAAAATTATATTAAATTATTTTATTTATACATTAACAAACAAAATACATAAACAAAATTTTGGAAAATTTGTAAATATATAAATACAAATTTATATATCCACAAAATTATACCTATAAACCCTTGTAATTGAATTCATTTTTTCCGTGTGGTCATAAGCTGAAATCTCCGCGACTGAAATATCTCACCCCCCCCTCTCTCTCTCTCTAGATTATCTCCTTGCCATTTTGTTGGCTCTCTTTCTCTCTCTCATATTCGCTCGCTTGCTCCACACCATTGGCTTATCCTTCCTGCTCACTAATTTCTCTGAATTCTACAATTTTCGCCTGACCGCAATCACAGCAGCAGTAGCTTTGAATGCTAATCATCTTTTGATCCTCTTCACTCGCTGTGATTTTACCATCTCTCTCCGGCCGAATATGTTTATGTATCTGTTGCATCTTTGTATTTCCAGACGAACGAGGTTTTGTTCCGGTTCGCTTGATTTTTCTTAAGCGCTTGCTTCCAATTCTTCTTCTCTTCTGTGTACCGATGCTTTTAAATAGACATGGCTACTGCTACTTCAATGTCAGGTAATCACTGCTATAATTAATTTCATTTCATTGTGCGAAAATGGCGTGTTAATCAATTGATACATACACCTTAATTGCGAATTGCGAGCTCAGTGTATTTAGGTTATCTAAAGTCTATTTCATTCCACTGCTAAGTAATTTGTGTTGGAAGGGCAAATTAGAGGTTTAGAGTAGCTGGAGGTTCAGTAATTCTAATAATATACTTGTGGAGCTAATATGAAGGATGTGTGAACATTTGTCAATCAATTGATACATACACCTTAAATGCGAAATAGTTGAGCTCAGGCTATTTAAGTTATGTAAATCTATTTCATTACACTGCTAATTAGTTTGTGTTGCAAGGCAAATAAGAGGGTTTTAGTGGCTGGAGGTTTACTAAATCTACTTATGATTATTCGTGGAGCTAACATGAATGACGTGTGAACTGTTTTCATTGCGCGTGAATGGCGTGTTAATCATGGATATGTGCATCTTAATTGTGAAACAGTCGAGCTCAGGCTATTTAAGTTATGTGAAGTCTATTCTATCCGTTTTCATTCCTCTGGTAAACAATTTGTGTTGCAAGGAAAAATAAGAGGTTTTTTATAACTGGAGGATCACTATATCTGTTAAAATTGCTCATCCAAATATTGGAGCTATCGTGAATGATGTGTAAATTTGTTAAAATTTCAATTTTGCAGTTTCTATCGAATGTGTGAATATATGTAAGTCTTGGAAAGGAGATGTGAGTGGAAGACTCGACTGTAGTGCGTTATCTTGTGCCTGGAAGGCACCAAGAGCCTTGACTGGGTTCCTTGCAAGCACAACTCATCCTACTCAGTGTTCCTCTACTCCTTTTGGGCGATATGGAAGACGAGATCGTCTCCGCCGATGTGTAAGTTTACTCAACTCCCAACTTACACTGTCTGGAATTAATCTCATTGAGTGAAAGCAAATTTGAGTCCAAAAAGCTTTATTTTAGTTTGAGTTAATGGTCAAAACACACCTACACTATCACTTTTTTACGAGTTCCGTACCTCAACTATCCATTGTTCTCTTTGCCCACCTAAACTATCACTACAAATCCCTCTGTATGAAAACACACCTCAACGCTTAGTTGGCCAAATATTTGTTCCCAATTGACAACATGCGCCTGTAGGCCAATTCATCATCGAGGTGTGTTTTAATAAAAAGGGAGTGATAGTTGAGGTATGAAACTCTAAAAAAGATGATAGTTGAGGTATGGAACTCATGAAAAAAGTGATAGTTTAGGTTTGTTTTTTACCATTAAGTCTTTAGCTTCAGAGGCTTTGCTGCCTTGCACTTTTAAAAAACTTGTTGGTCATTCACGTTTTGCCTGTGATAGTTACTTGTGTGTGATGAGACAGAGGATTGATTTGCTATAAATTGGTCTCTTTTATTTTAAGCATCTAACTCGAAACCTTAAGTGAATAAGTAGAGTATCTCAAAATCTTTAAATACCCGATGTAGAACTTTTTTTATAACTCAGTAGAACAGTTCATATTCTCATAGAACATTCATAGAATACATCTGTATATCATTTTTAAGTATAGTTTGTTTGATTCTTTTTTGATAAGTAGTTGGTTAGATTATTGTTCTTTGTTATTATGAGGAGGCCGACTTAGAGAACTTCCTTATATATGTTTCAAAATTTAAGTTTAGATGAATCATGTTTTCTTTCCATTCCATCCACCTTTTATCTGAAACATCATGTTCAGCAAGCTAAAAAGTTCTTTTTAATAAGAATATTGCTTAAGCCAACTTGTGCGTTCCTCTAATATTCGACTAGATACCTGCTACCTCCCACTGGTAAAGGGACTGTGCAACTCTACCTACCAATACACAGAAAAATATCTCTTAGCATAGGGCCACGGATTGCTAGCTATTAGAAGATTGATATCTGATAATTGAAGTACATATATGGATTATGCACTCATATTTCTAGTGTGGCCTTTAGTTTTTTCTGTTTAAACCTAGCTAGGCTTGATGAATGAGGTAATAAAAGGTAAAAAAGACAATTCTGTATCTTAAGAATTTCTTTTGTTGGTTATAAAGTTTCAGGGACCTCAATTGAGTGGAGTACATGGCAAGAACTCATATATTGTACCCCAACCAAATTGGAATAGAGGTGTAAATGTTTCAAAGTTTCTGATATACAACATCTCCTCTTCTTCAATACTTATGCCTAACACAGCCTAGTGCTAAATGTCATAGAGATTCATAAAATGACACGTTATAAAAATAGAAATGGGCATATTGTAGAAAATACATGGATAAGGCTTTGATTTTGGACCTTGTCTAGTTTCCCAGAACACTTTTCTCGAGAGCTTAGTCAAGGATTCAATTAGAATGAGTTTAAGCTGGATTCACGTAGACATGTATATTTTTCTTTGAGCATACATAATATATGTATTTCTTGAGAAGTCATACATAAAGGTTTCATAGTTGATTTTCTTGAGAAGATGTTATATCTATCACATTCTTTTGTCTTACTAGTTTTTACTTTTGACAGAGATGTTATGATGTGGATGAACGCTATCCTGTTGAAGTTCTGCGAGGGGTCCCTGGCTCAATGCTTCTACTATCTGCTTCTAGCAAATGGAAATTGTGTTGCTCTTCATCATTTTCTTCAGAGTTGTATGAAGAGATATCT